TTTTTTTGCGCTCTTTGGCTTGATATCAAAGTGAGCATAACTTTTCTATAACTTCCCTTCTGTTTGGATTTCGATACATTGACCAAAAAGCTATGAAAAGGGGTTTATGAAAAGTTTTTATATTCCGATCACGCATGCTTTCAGTCACGTGCCAGATCAGCCAACGCGAAATTCGATCCATACAACTTCGTGCTTCCTACGCATTCTTTTATAGGGCTTTTTGCATTTGGTTGGTAAAATTCGATAGGTATAATTTATAATTTTGTGATCTTGCTTTTTGTGACATCAAGATGTAAAATAGAAAGATGACGCTGAAATCTTTAAATACTTGTCTTTTCTTGTCTATCGAGGGGTTGCAAGTGTTGCCATTGCTGCTGCGAAAGCAAGTTGTTAATTTCACGGCTGTCATCCTATATGTCATCTCTTGCTACTAGTTGACGTTTGAAAGGGAGTACCTTGTATGTTGGACATATGGGGGCGGGGGAGTTCACCATTCACTTTTACCCCAGGGACCGGGGAGTTCACTGGCTCTCACATGCATAAAAAGTGAATGCCCCGCTAATGCCCGAGGGGGGGGGTCCGGGGGTTTCAAATGACTGGTGCATTATAATAGGATTCTCATCATCTTCAAAATGCTCATGCAACTCTTTCCTTTTGCCCGCTTTGCACGCTACATTTCGAGGTGTCAGCTGACAAATTTATGCAAAAAGTAACTTATTCCTACCTTGGGAACTATACCTGTATAAGTGGTTGCTGTCGAGTTTCTTATGCACAAGGAAGCATGTAAAATAAAATTTCCGACCCATCCTCTTTCCAAAAAAGCGCCGATCAAATAGGATATACATCGCGGCTACAGCCTTCTTTGCTGCCAACCATCTTGGCGGCATCTTGGTATATATGAATGTGTGGCGCGAAAAATTGGCGCGAAAAGACACAGCACGTTGACAACTCAAACCCAGTCCTAAAACTTCCTAATCTCGACGCGCGAGACACGCCGCTCGCTCAGCTCGTCGCTCGACACGCGCGCGCGTACACTCTTACTGAATCTGAAGAAAAAGAGAGACTGGTCGCAGTCTAGTTAGTTAATATCAGAAAGTTTGAAGCGTTTGACTATCAGATGATACGAAAACAACTGGGGGAAGCCAAAGATGGATAAGGATGATTTATTGGAAGGCGGGTCACAGTCTACTGTATTTCCTTTCGGCTGGATCGCTTTTATAATATTTACAGAAAAGTGATAGTTATGCTTTCTCTATGCCACCAAGGAAGCTCGAATTCACATGTTCAAGGCAATTTTCTGTGGCTTTAAGGAGTAGAGAAGTAGGCAGTTACAAAAAGAGGATTAAATTAGCTGGAAAAAGAGGGATTTATTTCTAACTCCACCCCAAAACTGTGCCCCCCGACGGAGACGTATTTGGTATTTCAGACTAAAATTTGCCCTGTTTTTCCTCTGATAATTAATTACTCCTGATTGGATTACATGTACACAGCAAAGTTTACCAAAACTCCGCCAAGCAGCTTGCAGAAATCCTATTTGAGAAACAAGTATGTTGCAATCTTTCACATAGTAACACCCACTCAAAATAGAGTTCAAAATAAATTTTTATTTCGTAAAATGTTTTTTCTCTAGGTCTTAGGTCATGCATTCTCTGTGTAAAAATGAAAAAAAAAATTATCTGTCAGGAAAGTACATTGCCTATAAAAAACAAATTGCCTTTTAGTTCATTTGCCAACAGTACTGGGTTAAACAGCTGGTACTGGGTTTATACAGAAACTCATAACCTTATGGGTTTCTGGTTTATAGTCTTCAGAGATGAGTGGGATGTCAGTCATGCGTGAAGTACCTGTATTGATTGACGCGTTTAGCGGGAATCCAGTGAGCTGCGATCGGAAGTGGATATGGCGGCGAGTTGAGTTGGTTTAACATTGTGGAGAGCCTTTTGGGGCTTTTAACAACAAATACCCCTGGAGAAGATGGCTAAATGGGATTCCAAAAACCTGGAAATTAAGAGCAAATCTGTGGAACTAACTCTTGTACCTTTGGTTACTCAAGTAAGGGTGGCTGTCGCATTTTGACCTTTGATGAACAAGAGGACATTATAAAACTTTTCAGCAGAGATCTATTCTTTAGCGAAGGAGAATCTTCACTTTAGCTTATTTTTGTTTCATCATGGAATTTATATTTTAAGATAACTTTTGCACTTCTCAGTGTGTTTTCGGCCATTTTCGAGCGGTCTTTAACATGGTGCTTTATTATTTTTCGCGTCGTAGATTACAACCTTAGTTAACCACAAAGACCACGGACGCAGAACAGACCGAGCGAGAAAAGCAATTCACGAAATTGGAAAAGTTGTAGCTATTGCCGTGGAGCGATTTGTAAATGTTGGGGAGCAAATCGCTGAAGAAAACGAAGATGTGGCGAATGAAATGCGGGAAGCATGTGAAGAAGCTAAAAAATCAGGACAAGCTATTTTAAATCTCACTTCATCAGCCGGAGCGGAATCTACGAGCGGCGATGATGGCGTGAACTTAGCTGATAAGAATGGGATGGTTCGTGCGGCACGTTCCCTGCTTTCCGCCGTTACCAGAGTTTTGATCATTGCAGACTCTGTTGTTGTGAAAAGACTGTTAAAGGCGGTCAAAAAGGTAAAGAGCTTACAAAAATCCCGCGACGTTAGCTTAAATTTCATGCATTTTGTCTCGCTGATGGACATTCGCAAGGTCGCTAAGATTGTTAATTGAAGATCATTTGTTCGTTACAATTGCTGTTGGCTGGTTCGACCTATTTAAGCAATGAATGAAAAATCTTAGCGCTAAAAAAGTTTATTTTTTCAATAACATATAAAGTTGGATGTATTTTCAAGCCAATTGACGTCAGACATTTGTTTATTTCTTAATTCAAGCACCCGCAACAAAGAGTAAGCTAGAGTTCTTTACTATATTTCCTCTAAACAATTCTCCTGCTTGAGTAACAGTAACTTTCCCTACTCTTTGAAAATATTGCAAGTTAGTTTGGTCCCTTGTTATTTAATTGAGTTTTAAGGAAAATAGACTGCTATAAATTCTGCTGTCTTTTACGTATTATTTGCAAATATTTTATGCATGTAAATCGAGAATCGTAGCAATATTGGTATGCTTGAAAATAATATTAGCGGAACGTTTGGGGCGGTTTTTAAGAGCATCCGGAGATCTGTTGAGGAAGTATCCATTAAAATTCTTCCGCAGATTTCATTCTCAAACATGATCTGGTGTTTTATAAATGTTATTTAAAGCGTTTTAGCTTTAAATAACATCTTTTGCAAATTTTTGCCTAACTTTTTTGAAAATATTGAATAATTGGATTAACATTATTGTATCTCTAAACAAATTATGCCCACCTAAACCGACATATGGTTTTCTTTGTAAATTCCCCAGAAAAACTGTTTGCAAACAAGTGAAGAATACCTTTTCAAAACCCAAAAGGTTGTTTACCCAACTTTATTCTAGTTTAAAATTTAAGTTTGGAAGATTTCTGCTTATTGGTGATTCTCTCTAAGCACCAAGATATTTTGATACATTTTTTCATGGTGGTAGATATACAGAGGTCACAATTTTCTAGTGTTTTGATAAGGGGATGATTTGAGCATTTTCGAGTGACTTTTCAATTACCTGTTTTTAAGGCATTTAATTTGAACACTCATGTGTTAAACAAATAGGAGTTGTTTGTAATTTTAATCCACCTCAACCATTACAATGCTTGCCAGTTTGCTATGTTAATCTCTTTAATTAAATCATGTGACCGATGGGCTTTAAATCTGAATAAATCGAGATGCAAGATGTTGTGTTTTTAAACTTAAGTGCATGACTTAGGTTCTTATAGTTAAACCCATAAAACAAACTCCAACTCAAAAACTTGAAGGTTTGTATGGTTTTCATCAGATCCCATTCAATTAAGAAGTACTTTTTACCACTTTCTCAAGTACTTTTATTGTTTTTAGGTTTGATATTCTTTGGACTTANCGAGTGACTTTTCAATTACCTGTTTTTAAGGCATTTAATTTGAACACTCATGTGTTAAACAAATAGGAGTTGTTTGTAATTTTAATCCACCTCAACCATTACAATGCTTGCCAGTTTGCTGTGTTAATCTCTTTAATTAAATCATGTGACCGATGGGCTTTAAATCTGAATAAATCGAGATGCAAGATGTTGTGTTTTTAAACTTAAGTGCATGACTTAGGTTCTTATAGTTAAACCCATAAAACAAACTCCAACTCAAAAACTTGAAGGTTTGTATGGTTTTCATCAGATCCCATTCAATTAAGAAGTACTTTTTACCACTTTCTCAAGTACTTTTATTGTTTTTAGGTTTGATATTCTTTGGACTTAAAAGTCAAGTTAAAAGCATTTGTGAGTCCTAACAGTTTTCAGCTTCAAATTTACTATTTCACTTTCAAAGTGACAATTTTGAAAACATAAAATTAATAGAGTGTTGCTCTTCATTGTTTATCATCAAAATGTGCAGCAAAATATACAGCAATGAGTTCCTGAAAACTCCTTTCGCCTTTTCTTTCTGTCTCTATGGGACTTTGATTAAAACAGAGTTTCAATGATGTGTCAGTCTTAACACAAAAACTAAATGTTGTTGTCTTTATTACTTAACTATTCAACTATTCCACAGGTGGATGATAGGCTGAAGGAACTAGAAGATGTGAATACATTTACTGATTTTGTGCAAGCATTTAGCCAGTTTGGTTCTGATATGGTGGAGTTGGCTCATTTATCTGGGGACAGACAAAATGTAGGTATACCATATTTATTTAATGCCTTGGAATTAAGTGCCCTGGGCGCTTATTAATTTTTTGGACCTTATTTGAAGTAGGCAGTTATTCAAAGTTGGGCACTTATTGTCACACTGAATCAGGGCTTTCAGTGGCAGGCTAATAATGAATAGTAGGTAGCTTTGGAACTCGCACCAAAGTCACAAGTTCTTGAGGGCCAAGGCATCTAGGGACATTTTGAAATTTAGAGTCTCGGAAATGGCGTTTGCAGGTTTTTTTTTTCCAGCGCAGAATCCATGTTGTTTCGTTAGAACACACTCAAGACTGGGAACAATGCCATCGAAATGACCAAGGCATTCCATGACATCACATGGTTCGAACGTTTCACAGATCTAAACCTGTTTAAATATGCGTTTAATGTCATTCAAAACTGAGAAAAGGGACGCTGTACAATTTTATTCGATGGTGCTTATTTTTTGTTAGCAGTTATGGTAGAAAGTGATGAAAGTAGCCTGCTAAGGATGGCTAACTAGGCGGCAGTTTTGGCCAGCTATCGGCCCTTATTGACAGCCCTGATTGAATGCTGTTGGCTCCATTAAACCCCTCTCCTATGTGAACAGGTCTGGAGGCCCATTTGCAAACAGTATTTAACTGATGAAAGCTGTAATGTTGATACTATGAAAAGTTATTTTCTTTTATTTTTGCAGGACTTGAAAGATGACACCTTAAAAGCTGAGATGGGTGCCGCCAGATCAGTATTGGAAAAGTCTACAATGATGTTACTAACAACGTCTAAGGTATTCAGTTACTAAAAAAATTGTCCTGAGACTTTGAGTTGGGTACAGCTATAGGTTGAAAAAAACTCTTTAAACAGATCAGACATGGCAAAGTATAGCAGTCCAATTTCAGGTAGAGAGTATGGTAAACTTTATTTTGCACAAAATGTAGTGAGTAATTTTTTGTGGAACTGATTGCAACAAATTTGATTCAAGTGATTTTTATTTGATACTAATGTGGTTTAATTTGTTTATGTAATGTCTTGTTAAGACCTGTTTGAGGCATCCAGACTCAAGATCCGCAAAGGGAAACAGGGAAGGTGTTTTTAAAAAAATGAGAGAAGCTATGGCAACAATAACATCTGTTGTTCAAGATGAACCTAAAGAAGAGTCAGAAAATGGAGGGTTAGCAATGGATCTTGGAAATTTTGAGGTAAGCTGCCTAAAACAAGCAATAATAATTATTGTGATACCGTTAGATGTAAATTTAACATAGTTTATGACTTCAAGGAACATAACAGGGCTGTAAAAAAATTTTCTAAGTAGCAGGCTGATAAGGAATAGAAGGCGGCTTGAGGACCGAGACATCTAAGGATATTTGAAATCTAGAGTCTCGGAAATGGCGTTTCCAGTGGCTTTCAAGATGTATTTTCCTCGGTGGACGCCATGTTGTTTCATCAGAATACATACAAGACTGGGAATAATGCCATCAAAATGTCTCAGGCATTCCACGTCATCGTATGGTTCGAATGTTTCACAGATCTAACCCTGTTTAAATATGCGTTCAATGTTATTCAAAACTGGGAAATGGATGCTTTAAAATTTTAATTGATGGTACCTATTTTTTGTGAGCAGTTATGGTAGAAGGAGATGGAAGTGGCCAGCTAAAGTTGGCTAACTAGCCAGCAGTTTTGTCCGGCTACTGGCCCTTATTGACAGACCTGACAGAAGTGGCATAAGATAATAATTCCCCATTTGAATCACAATAATAATAAAATTAGTATAGGTAATAGCATGATTTGTAGTGATATTTGGCATAAATACCACGAGTGATATTTCAAAATTGTTAAACGTAATTGCGAGTGAAATTTGAGGCAATTTTGAAATATCATGAGTGGTATTTATGCCAAACATCAGGTACAAATCATGCTATTATTTGTTTATACCACTACCCACAAAAGGTTTGTAATTTTCACATGTAGGTATTTCAAATTAAGCTGAAATACCACTACTCTAAGCCAATCAAATTGCAGAAATTTCTCACGTAGTGGTATAAACATTGTAATGAGTCGTTGGAGGATATCATATTTTATAAAGATGAAATTAAACTACTTCTAACAGTGCTTGTCAATAAAGAAAATAATCTGTTTTACAATCAAGACATCCAATCTTTGGTGATATATGTTCACTGTATATTATTCAATGTTCTATTCTTAAACAGAGTATTATGGAAGCTTACAAACAAAGTTCTCCAGGTGACAGTGAATGTAAGATTAGATTCCAAAAAGCCTTCACAAAGATCCTGGATGATGTACAGTCTGTTATAAATTCTCCTCACACAAGAAAAGAAAAAAGAGAAAAGATACTAGATTTCTTTATGTTTAACTTGAGACCCGCTAGCCTCCCAAAATCTCCCACCGTTTTCAAAGCATTTTCAACGGAGATCAAATCTGCACAGAAAAGGTTTGAAAACCAAATACTTCACAGCAAAAACCAAATACCTCACGGCAAAAGCAAATATTCACGGCAAAACCAAAGCTATTTTGCTTTTGCTGTGAAGTATTTGGTTTTGCCGTGATGTTTTTGTTTTTGCCGTGAGGTTTTTGGTTTTGCTGTGACAGTCGGGGGCCACCATAAGTTTGTCTGCTTTTTCTTGATAATAAAATCGAGATTTTTAAAAAACTATCGCTACTTGGAGAGGGTGACCCTAGCAAGTTTTAACAACTTATAGTAAGACTAACTAACTATTGAAGACATCTCCCAGATCAGGTTTGAATTTAGAAAACATATTTTGCCAGTCTCTTAGCCTTTAACTACCTAGATTTCACTACACACACGCCGTTTGGGGACAGTTTTTAAATTAGTATAGACACCACTGCGATATACCTCTTTTCTTCTGCCCTGTTTAGTTATAACAGGATTCTCATCATCTTCAAAATGCTCATGCATTTTTGCCCACTTTGCACGCTACATTTCGAGGTGTCAGCGGACAAATTTATGCAAAAACTAATTTATTCCTACCTTGGGAACTATACCTGTATAAGCGGTGGCAGTCGATTTTCTTATGCACAAGGAGTCATGTAAAATAAAATTTCCTACCCATCCTCTTTCAAAAAAAGCGTCGATCAAATAGGATATGCATCGCGGCTACAGCCTTCTTTGCTGCCAACCATCTTGGCGGCATCTTGGCAACATCTTGGCATGTGTGAATGTGTGGCGCGAAAAATTGGCGCGAAAAGACAAAGCACGTGAACAACTCAAACCCAGTCCTAAAACTTCCTAATCTCGACGCGCGAGACACGCCGCTCGCTCAGCTCGTCGCTCGACACGCGCGCGCGTACACTCTTACTGAATCTGAAGAAAAAGAGAGACTGGTCGCAGTCTAGTTAATAATATCAGAAAGTTTGAAGCGTTTGACTATCAGATGATAAGAAAACAACTGGGGGAAGCCAAAGATGGATAAGGATGACTTATTGGAAGGCGGGTCACAGTCTACTGTATTTCCTTTCGGCTGGATCGCTTTTATAATATTTACAGAAAAGTGATAGTTATGCTTTCTCTATGCCACCAAGGAAGCTCGAATTCACATGTTCAAGGCAATTTTCTGTGGCATTAAGAAGTAGAGAAGTAGGCAGTTACAAAAAGAGGGACTTATTTTCAACTCCACCCCATTAACCCGCGCCCCCGGCCCGGTAGAGACGTATTTGGTATTTCAGACTAAAATTTGTCCTGTTTTTCTTCTGATAATTAATTACTCCTGATTGGATTACATGTACACAGCAAAGTTTACCAAAACTCCGCCAAGCAGCTTGCAGAAATCCTATTTGAGAAACAAGTATGTTGCAATCTTTCACATAGTAACACCCACTCAAAATAGAGTTCAAAATAAATTTTTATTTCGTAAAATGTTTTTTCTCTAGGTCTTAGATCATGCATTCTCTGTGTAAAAATGAAAAAAAAAATTATCTGTCAGGAAAGTACATTGCCTATAAAAAACAAATTGCCTTTTAGTTCATTTGCCGACAGTACTGGGTTAAACAGCTGGTACTGGGTTAAAAGTCTTCAGAGATGAGTGGGATGTCAGTCATGCGTGAAGAACCTGTATTGATTGACGCGTTTAGCGGGAATCCAGTGAGCTGCGATCGGAAGTGGATATGGCGGCGAGTTGAGTTGGTTTAACATTGTGAAGAGCCTTTTGGGGCTTTTAACAACAAATACCCCTGGAGAAGATGGCTAAATGGGATTCTAAAAACCTGGAAATTAAGAGCAAATCTGTGGAACTAACTCTTGTACCTTTGGTTACTCAAGTAAGGGTGGCTGTCGCATTTTGACCTTTGATGAACAAGAGGACATTATAAAACTTTTCAGCAGAGATCTATTCTTTAGCGAAGGAGAATCTTCACTTTAGCTTATTTTTGTTTCATCATGGAATTTATATTTTAAGATAACTTTTGCACTTCTCAGTGTGTTTTCGGCCATTTTCGAGCGGTCTTTAACATGGTGCTTTATTATTTTTCGCGTCGTAGATTACAACCTTAGTTAACCACAAAGACCACGGACGCAGAACAGACCGAGCGAGAAAAGCAATTCACGAAATTGGAAAAGTTGTAGCTATTGCCGTGGAGCGATTTGTAAATGTTGGGGAGCAAATCGCTGAAGAAAACGAAGATGTGGCGAATGAAATGCGGGAAGCATGTGAAGAAGCTAAAAAATCAGGACAAGCTATTTTAAATCTCACTTCATCAGCCGGAGCGGAATCTACGAGCGGCGATGATGGCGTGAACTTAGCTGATAAGAATGGGATGGTTCGTGCGGCACGTTCCCTGCTTTCCGCCGTTACCAGAGTTTTGATCATTGCAGACTCTGTTGTTGTGAAAAGACTGTTAAAGGCGGTCAAAAAGGTAAAGAGCTTACAAAAATCCCGCGACGTTAGCTTAAATTTCATGCATTTTGTCTCGCTGATGGACATTCGCAAGGTCGCTAAGATTGTTAATTGAAGATCATTTGTTCGTTACAATTGCTGTTGGCTGGTTCGACCTATTTAAGCAATGAATGAAAAATCTTAGCGCTAAAAAAGTTTATTTTTTCAATAACATATAAAGTTGGATGTATTTTCAAGCCAATTGACGTCAGACATTTGTTTATTTCTTAATTCAAGCACCCGCAACAAAGAGTAAACTAGAGTTCTTTACTATATCTCCTCTAAACAATTCTCCTGCTTGAGTAACAGTAACTTTCCCTACTCTTTGAAAATATCGCAAGTTAGTTTGGTCCCTTGTTATTTAATTGAGTTTTAAGGAAAATAGACTGCTATAAATTCTGCTGTCTTTTACGTATTATTTGCAAATATTTTATGCATGTAAATCGAGAATCGTAGCAATATTGGTATGCTTGAAAATAATATTAGCGGAACGTTTGGGGCGGTTTTTAAGAGCATCCGGAGATCTGTTGAGGAAGTATCCATTAAAATTCTTCCGCAGATTTCATTCTCAAACATGATCTGGTGTTTTATAAATGTTATTTAAAGCGTTTTAGCTTTAAATAACATCTTTTGCAAATTTTTGCCTAACTTTTTTGAAAATATTGAATAATTGGATTAACATTATTGTATCTCTAAACAAATTATGCCCACCTAAACCGACATATGGTTTTCTTTGTAAATTCCCCAGAAAAACTGTTTGCAAACAAGTGAAGAATACCTTTTCAAAACCCAAAAGGTTGTTTACCCAACTTTATTCTAGTTTAAAATTTAAGTTTGGAAGATTTCTGCTTATTGGTGATTCTCTCTAAGCACCAAGATATTTTGATACATTTTTTCATGGTGGTAGATATACAGAGGTCACAATTTTCTAGTGTTTTGATAAGGGGATGATTTGAGCATTTTCGAGTGACTTTTCAATTACCTGTTTTTAAGGCATTTAATTTGAACACTCATGTGTTAAACAAATAGGAGTTGTTTGTAATTTTAATCCACCTCAACCATTACAATGCTTGCCAGTTTGCTATGTTAATCTCTTTAATTAAATCATGTGACCGATGGGCTTTAAATCTGAATAAATCGAGATGCAAGATGTTGTGTTTTTAAACTTAAGTGCATGACTTAGGTTCTTATAGTTAAACCCATAAAACAAACTCCAACTCAAAAACTTGAAGGTTTGTATGGTTTTCATCAGATCCCATTCAATTAAGAAGTACTTTTTACCACTTTCTCAAGTACTT